CCCCCCTCCGCGCCTCGACACCCTATCCCCTTATCCCCTAAACTCCAGCTCCCGCCGCGTCCGCTTGACCATTAGGTCGTGATGTCCACCGCCTCCGCGCAGCGCAGTGCTCCCCCGACGATTGACAGGATCGGGTGGTGGGGTCCCACTCCGTCCCAGCCCCGCCTTGGGACATTAAGCGCGGTGAAAGAGCGCAAGCGCGCCCAGAAGTCCACTACTGCCCGAGCGCGGGCGTATTCCAGGGGGGTTGCTGCTGCTGTTGCTGCTGCTGCTGCTGCTGCTGCTGCTGTTGCTGCTGCTGTTGCCGTCCCCGGTCCCGCGATGGGCCCCTGTATGTATGTATGTATGTATGTATGTATGTATGTATGTATGTATGTATGTATGTATGTATGTATGTATGTATGTATGTATGTATGTATGTATGTATGTATGTATGTATGTATGTATGTATGTATCATCTATCCGAATAGCCATACACTCCCTTTGGGAATACTCTTAATCAGTTAATCGGTTAATCGGTTAATCACGGTTTGCAGCTTCATGTCATAATCTGTAGCAGCCTCAGACAGGGTCGTCCGAGCTGGAAGTGCCGAGTCCTAAAACCTTTCACATCTCCAAATGAATAAAGAAAATAAATCTCAAAACTGAAGCTACGTGCGTAGAGGCGTTTGCGCGCTCACGTTTTTCGTGCATGCATGTCCTTGAGAGGAAGAAGGGAAATCAAGACCTGTCGCGTAAGTGTTTACAGTTAAAGCAGTACGACAAACTGTACGGCTGATAGCAGTACAACCAGTCGAACGACTAACGGTAAACATATTATCATTCTACAGGGCGTTTTTACAGTTCGAAGGCGTGGACTCGGCCTTCTACGTTTGGCTGAACGGTTGTCTGGTGGGGTTTTCTAAGGACAGTCGTACGACGGCGGAGTTTGAGGTGACAGGGCGACTGGCACCGCCGGGGCAGCTAAACACACTGGCTGTTCAGGTACGGCAATCTACGGTACGGCATGGACGAAGGGCTGGAGACGGAGATGGAGGAGATGGGTTGTAGGAAAGCCTTTATTCTGTATTATGAAAAAAAACCACGACGACCCGAAGTCCTAATCTCCTTCCCCATCCCGCGACAGATTTGACTCTCCAACTTCTTAAACTTTTGCAAACTTCCCAGACCAGCTTTCCCAACGTCTTTCCAATCTTTTCCCCGAAAAATAATAAACATCGAGCTTGCAAGCTTGGGGCAACATTTCTCTTCTGGTTGTTTTGGCATACCTGTGTGCTGTGATTGAATGTAATTCAAATTATATTTTTTTTAAATTCAAATTTGATCTGCCAACTACCCAGCAGGTTCTCAGATGGAGCGACGCAACCTATCTCGAGGATCAAGATATGTGGCGACTCAGCGGCATTCACCGCGATGTACAACTGCTCGTCAAACCTGCCGTACACATTACGGATTTTACAGTACGAACGCCCCTCACCTTCTCGTACGGGGGAAAAGCCGAGAATGGCGAGGAGAGAATGTGCAACTGGGGGGTTGAAGATGTCGCTGGGGTAAACTTGGAGAGCGCGAAGTTGGAGGTGGAGGTGTTTTTGGCGGGGCCGTCCGATGGGGAGATGGCAGGTAGGGATAGGAAGATGAAGGGGCGTGAGGGGCCGATGGGAGGGCGGAATGTGGAATTAGGGGGTTGGGGGGTTGGATGGAGGGGATGGTGGGTGCAAGGTACTACTGGTGGTCGTGGGAGAGGGGGAAGAGCGGGGGAAAAAACACCAAGGAGAGCAATCGTGTAGCCGGCAAGCATGCATCGCGTTCCTTCATTATTCGTATCCGTTCGTCTTACGCCGCCCGCGTTGTAAGATATCCCCCCCCCCCCCGCCCGCCTCGCCTCTGAAGAACAACCCCCCACCCACACACGCAAACCCACACACGCAAACACGCATGTGGATGTCACCCTCCTGTTCTCCTTAGATTGTACGATTGTCGTACACATCCTGGACGAGAATGGTCAGCTAGCCGGCTCTGGCGGCGCCCCGCTGTCCATCCCCGTAACCACGCGCCGGTGGTACGGCGTGGATACGGCAGGCCACGCCTGTCGTACAACTGCTGGTGTGGGCGGCGTTGCTCGTCTGTCCCTCGACGCAATGGCTCTTTTTTCGGCGACGAAAGGAACTTCGGCATTATCAGCTGCGGCAGATGGCAGCATGGGCCTTGAAAGTGGCCACCTTCGGCTTTGGAGTGCGGAGAATCCGGCGCTGTACTACATGGTTTTGGAGCTGCGTCATGCGACCCGTGGAACCTTAGAATATGAGTCATGTCAAGTAAGGCAATTCTACCCCTTCTGTCCCTTTTGGAAGTAATGATGGGATACCAACATGACATCAGTTGCTTGTTGGTAATCTTGACAAGATATAAAAAGATAAAAAATGTAATATATTGACTGATCGTCATTGCCTTTAGGGACAAGGGTTTTCCTTTGGGTTCTGAAAAAGATGGTAAAAATGTACTAACATTTAAAACATATACATTTTTTTCTTTTCCACTGGACTTGGGACGCCTGGGTATATGTTTTACGTGGATGCTTTTTTTAAACCTGCTATTTTCCTATGCTCCTGCCGGTTGATTGCTGTGCCACTGCTGAAACGTCGCTTGGGTGCTACTGCTGCTACTGGTCGGCAGCTGGGCTTCCGGCAGACAGAGGTACGACATGCTCGGTTGTTACATAACGGTCATCCCGTTATGCTACGCGGGATTAACCGCCATGAGTGGGACGAGCGGTGAGTTTGGCGGTACTGTCAAGTTTGTGTCTCTCTATTTCTTTGCAGTTTTTTCGCAAACCAGATTTCCTCGCTTTCTTGTGTCTGCGCCGCTTGATATGCTCAAAATCAACTAACACCCTCGTGTGCCGTGTCGGCGCGCCTACCTTACATAATTTCTCAAGTTTGAGAAGGATTTCGATAAAAAAAATTAAAAATTTGAATTTTTTTTTGAATTTTTGAACAGCCGCGGCAAGGCCCTTACCGAGGAGCACATGATTCGAGACATTTTGCTGATGAAGCAAAACAACTTCAATGCGGTTCGCTGCTCGCACTATCCGAACCACGTCCGATGGTGGGTCTCAGCTGTCGTTCCCATTCGTTTGTTTGTTGGAGTTGGGGTTGGGGGTGGGGTTGGGGTTGGGGTTGGGGTTGGGGTTGGGGTTGGGGTGGGGTCTTGGATCGTTCCCCCTCATCTTTCCCCTTTCGCACACATGTCCCCCGGCTGCATGTGTGAACTTGGGTGAGCTGGGATGCGACGTCATTCGCATGCCGTGTTTCGATACGGGCCTCCACTCCTGTGGTTAAGTTCGTTGAGAGTTAGTTAAGAGTTAGTTGAGTAAAAACCTACCCAACCCCCATCGTGTGCACATGAACCTTACACCAACGACCCCGACACCGCCACAACCTCACCGCGCTGTACATGCGCGCGTCTTCACTGTACGACAACGTACGGAAGGTACGAGCTGTGTGCGTACTATGGGTTGTACGTCATTGACGAGGCGAACGTGGAAACGCACGGCTTCGATCCGAGTTTTACGGTACGGCCTTTCGTCGTACTTGTACCATTGATGCCCGCATTCAACCCGACGTGTGGTGTGGTGTGGTGTGGTGTGTTTTGAATTTCCCTCCCCAACACGTCACACCAAACACCCCCGGTCGTCCCCCGG